ACTATCAGGTGAGCACCAGATACTATTAGGTGAGCACCAGATACTATTAGGTGTGCACCAATACTAATGTACTGAGCACCTAAACTATTAGATAAACATACAATACACATAGTATCTGGTATTGGGTGCTTACCACATTTGTTTTACAAAAAACTTTTGGCCTACATTAAAAAAAAACACACTGAGAAGACATGTGTAGGTTCACTGGTGGTTTTGGATATTAAATAAAATGGCTATATTTGTGTTTTGTAGACTGGTTCCTATAACATATGAATTTGTTTAACAGACTGACCCAATCATAGCATCATGGTGAAGACCACCTGGAAGACTTGGTAGACACCAAAACTGCCCCATTCAGATAAACAGCACTTAAAGCTTTCATCTTTGAGAGAGAGGAGAAAATCAAGCTGCTTCAGATCTGAAAACATCCACAGGTGTTTCTGTCCATCCTTCCACACAACTCAGCGCTGTGGGTCTGAAAGGATGTGTAGCTGTCAAGAAGCCTCACTGAGAAAAGGAGACAGACACATCAAACAAAGAAGCTGAACAATGGACTGACCACCCCAGAGTCCAGACCTCAACATCACTGAATGTGTTTGGATTACTTCAGGAAATGATCAACCAACTTTTAAGACTGAACTGTGGAGGTGAAAAATAACCCTGCAGACTTCTTTTATGAACGGAAACCTGCCTTCCTGTTACTGTTCTAGCGATACTTTTCATCATTGTGTCAGAGTAGTGAATGATGAATGACCTGTGTATGATCACATGCTCATAAGTACTGATCAGCAAAGTGGTTAAGGGAGAGGATAAATCATGCGTCTGTTTCTGCACAACAGAAATAACTTCCTTTGTGGTTTAAAATGACTGTTTTCCTGTAACAACAAAAGTTAATCCTCCTGGTGTGAGTCAGGAATGTGGACTGGTTTATGGTGTGACTGCATGGTTTATAAGTCTCTCTCACGTTTGCCAGTATATTAATGTCCATCAATCAGGCAAATAAAATCAAACAAACAAACAAAAGTATTAGTATTTCAGTACACAGTCCTCAGAGCCAACCAGACGGTCCATAGTTTTGGTCTATTGCAGCCGACAACTGACTTTTTGCTCAAATGTTCTTTGTATACGTCACTGATTTTACATTTAAAGGGGAATTTTTATTAATTTCTCCCTCTGAAAGTTCTTTTATTACATAAAATGTAAATGAATATACAGAGCCCCTGAAGGGACGTGGTGTATTGTTTTTAGGTAAAAATCAGGTAAGCACCAGATAATATGTGGTGAGCACTAGAGACTATAAGGTGTGCACTAGATACTATGCGGTGAGCACCAGATACTATGTGGTAAGCACTAGATTTAGGCGCACACTAGATACTATCAGGTGAGCACTAGTGACAATTAGGTGCGCACCAGATACTATGTGGTCAGCACTAGAGACTATTAGGTGACACCAGATATTCTGTGGTAAGCATTAGATTTAGGTGCACCATATACTATGTAGTGAGCACCAGCTACTAGGTGGTGAGCACTAGAGACTATAAGGTGCACACTAGATACTATGTGGTGAGCACTAGATACTATGTGGTCAGCACTAGTGACCATTAGGTGCGCACCATATACTATGCGGTAAGCACTAGATTTAGGCGCAAACCAGATACTATCAGGGGTGCACTAGTGACAATTAGGTGCGTGCCAGATACTATGTGGTGAGTACCAGATGCTATGTGGTCAGCACTACAGACTATTAGGTGCACAATAGATATTCTGTGGTAAGCACTAGATTTAAGTGCACCAACTACTATGTGATTAGCACCAGATACTATGCTGTCAGCACTAGTGACAATTAGGTGCGCACCAAATACTGTGTCGTGCGCACCAGATACTATCAGGTGAGCACCAGATACTATAATGTGTGCGCCAATACTATGTAGTGAGCACCCAATTCTATTAGATGCGCACTAGATGCACATAGTATCTGGTTTGCACCACATAGTATCTGGTGCGCACATGATAGTGTTGGGTGCTTACCATACAGCATCTGGTGCTCACCTCACAGTATCTGGTGCGCACCTGGTAGCACTTGATACCTAAAATAAAATACACTACACCCCTTCAGGGGCTCCATATGAATATGATGCCTGATGCATTGTTTTAAATTTGATTTATGAAAAGCTTTTGGCCAAATAGCAAAATAGCCCCCAAAGAAAAACTAATAACTTTGCAGGATATTACCACTATTTTACAATCAACATCAATCCATATACAAACTCAGAAGACATGTAGGTTCACATGGTGGTTTTGGGTAGTAAATAAAATGGCTGTATTTGGTGACCTCTGGTTCCTATCACCACCACTGTCAGCAAGTTTCTGTACAATGAACCATTTCACATCACACCACTTGTAATGACTGTTTACGTCTCAACCACAGCATTATGCAGGAATAATTGAAAAATCATTGGAATTCTCCTTTAGGGACAATACCTCGCAACCCACACACCACTGTATGGGAATATTTTAGTTGATGTATGTGTAATTACATGTATTCATTCCATGTTCCTCTGCTAGTAAGGCACCCAAATTTCCCCTTGGGGATCAACAAAGTAAATCTATATATGTACATATATCTGTCTATGTGGGCCATCTGATGAGGCCCGAGTACTGGGCTGAGAAACACTGGTGCAACAGAAATGTCCTTTGCTTCATCCAGTGGGAAAATCAACACAAAATCAATGATCAAGCAACATAAGTACGAACATTCATCATTCTTTTTCAGTGTATTCATTCAAAGTGGATGAAAATTATATTATATACAGAAAAACATGCAAAAGCTGACCTACTTAGCTTAAATGGAACACCATTCCATATTTGTGAATAGCAGCTTAGCTTTTTTATGGTGGCACATCACTTACCAGGTGGATCCAGTTCTGGCTAGGCCATGGTCGCGCTGCGGGTTCTCTTCATGCCTGTGCGTAGACAGAGGTTTAAAAGAATAGCACAAGTCACATATGGAACCCATTTACCAATGCTGCTTGGGTAATTTAGTTTGTTGAAATATGGGCTTTTTGTTTTAAACAAGTCGTAAGAAGGTGCCCGATTTGCCGTTTCCCTGTCCAAGGCTGAAGGCTGGCTCTGGACTTCATGGAAATTAAAGCTTTGAAGACCAACTCAAACAAGTCCTTTTATACCTGAAGTCTTCCCTGGGCTGAAAGGGGAATTCCACCAATCTTTCAAAATGTCTGCATAACTTTATTGATAAGAGGAAAACAAAGTCTTACAGTGTGGCTCCAGTCTAGATAAGGTTACAGAATCAGAACTGTTCACAGTGGTGGTGATAGGAACCAAACGTCCACCTCTAAAAGCTCCCTCACAGAAAGTTATTACATGAAATGGTTACGACTACACAGCCTCACGACTCTGACAGTGTTTTACGGTAGTTTTGCTGTATTTTCTTTTATAAAACTCATTAATGCATGGCATTCTATGGCAAAGAACTACAGAATCACCACTATATTACTATTATCAATATTACATTTATATAATGGAGAGTTCTGGTCCTAAAATCTGACTGGCCCTGATTGATACACATTCAAAGCAGTTTTAATTCTTTAGTTACATGATCAACTTACAACAATTGATGTTATTCTGCTCACATGGACCACCAGGAGTACTTTTAGATAAAGGAAAGACCCTTGTTTGTTTACACTGAAGGGCTGACCGTTTGTTTTTTTAACAGCTAAGTTAGGCTAAAGTCAGCAGGCTAAACAGGGCTAAAAGATTGCTAACAGGCTAAACTGCTCATACTCAGGCACTGAATTTAAGGATTTACTGAAGGATTTTCTGTAAAACTGAAGAATAAACATGCTTTAAATGTTCATGTTTTAGTTAGATCTGCCTTAAGTTGTATCCCAGAGTGGGAAAACCGATGTGTGGCCTTGTTAGCTTGATGCTAACACAACGCAGGAAATCACTTAGAGTGAAAATTAGCATTATCTTTGAGGTGGTAATTTAATTTAGTGAGCAAAAACTACTTAAAAGGGCAAATGTTTCTGCTATATACACAGCTATATTATAATATTTTCATTATAATGTGATAAAAATGTAAAAGGTTAATGAAATGACTGCCAACTGACATTTCTAGTTAGCTAGTTTCTCCTTTAGCAGTCTATTAATTGGAAACGCTAACATTTTCTAAATGAATGATATCTCATTGTACTCACAATTATTACATATTAAAATAAAATTACATCTCAAATAACTTAAAGGGGAACTCCACCAATTTTTCCAAAATTCTAGCTACATACTTGAAGTTTTGAAATGTAAACAAAGGTTTTGGATAGTAAATAAAATAGCTGTGTTGTAGACATGGTGACCGCTGGTTCCTGTCACCACCGTGTAAAGAAATCTGAACGATTTCACACCAAACCACGCTAAATCACTCTGTTTACACCTCAGAGACTGACGTTTGGTGGAATTACCTTTTAAGACACTTTGAAATTGGTGGAATCTTCCTTTACTGTGTGTGGACATTCGGACCTGGTGAAGGTCTGACCTTTCCACACTTCACCCAGTCATAACACGAGGACTCAAACCCCAATAAATCTTCCTCAGGTTGGTTTGGCCGTGAAACGCTGCCTCGTCAGGGCAGTCAGGACAGTCAGGTCACCGCTCTGCCAGGTAAACATCAGCCTCACTGGGTTTGAGGGCTGCCTGGAAGTCTTTCTGCTGCAGTTTGGGTGCCAAGCTAGGAAAGAAAAACGAGCCATTTGCGTAAAGCAGTGGCGTAATCAGCGCTGAATGGTCGGGGACAGCAGCTATAACTTGGTGAGCAGCGGGATGTGCTGGGTTTTCAGTAATGACAGCAGCCCAGCTTCTGCGAAGCCTTCCAGAAGAGGAGTTCAGAAGGTAAGGCGGAGGCTGTGGGGAGTTTCTTTTAATGCCGAGCAGCTGTTCGAGTCCCGGGCTGGTCTGCTTGCTCATCGGAAATGCATCATTTCGCCTCAGCATGAGCGCAGATGACTCACTCCATTCCTTAACTTATAAAGCTCATGCATGGACAAGCTGAAGTTGGGGCTGCACGGCGTTAGATCTCCAGTGAATCCAAGAGCAGAAACCCCAAACCTTAGAAGTTAATCAACTTTAACGTAAACAGAAAACAAGATGGAAAACCTGTTGCAGCTGTCAGTCTTCCTGGCTGCTGCACTGTTCGCAGCGTCCACCACCGTAATGGACAGAAGAAATCAGTTCACAGAAGCAGTGGTAAGAACCAGGACGCCTTGTGTTTATCCTTATCATGCGTATGCTTTTCTGAGCAGATCTTGGATATCCTCAGTACTTATAATCACTTCTTATTGCATGTTTGATTACAAAGAGCATAATTAGTCCTGTTTAACTGGATTAGATTCATAGTTTTCGATGATATTTCTTAAAAAATTTTGCACTATTTTGTTTGTTCTACTCGTAAAAAAGATGGTTCTTCAAAACAATTGTTCTGTATAGCACCATGAACACTCAGTTAAACATTTGCATGCTTAAATGGTTCTCTGCATGCTGATATGGTTCTTCAGATTGATGGAGAATGTGTTGTATATGATTCTACTTAGCATCAAAAAAAGTGTTTTGTTGTTATGTGAACATATTGTAGCAATAGCAGAACCCTTTTTGTGCTATGTAGAACCATTTTTTTTTTAAAAAAGAACAAAACATGATCAGAAACACCCTAAAGAACCATTTCTCCATGCAGAGAACCATTTAAGCATGCATATGATTCTCTGAGTGTTCATCGTTCTTTTGTAGAACCATTGTCTTTCCTAAAGAATCCTTGAAGAACCATTTTTTTAAGAGTGTAACTTATCAGATGTCAGAAAAAAAATCATAAATAACTTCTTGAAGCATCATGATTACTATTATTATTACATTGTGCCATGTTGCCCACCTCTATTTTGGTGGTCTGTACTGTATGCAAAGTGAATCCCTCTGCTTTGTCCTTACTGAATGCAGACCTACCTGAGGCAGTTTGGATACCTCGACACTCCACTGGATGTAGAGGCCCAAGGACAGTGGAGCGATGAGGAAATACAAGAAGCCATCAGGTAAATAATGCACCTGTCCACAAAGTCAGTGAACGTTACCAAGATTTTTTTTGCTGATTTTTCAAGATTTCTGCATAATTAAATGGTTGAGGTGTAAACAAAGTCAGTGAGAGTGGTTTGATGTGAAATGCCTTAGGTTAGAGCTGGGGTGACCAAATCTCTCCTGGTCCTGGAGATCTACCACCCTGGAGAGTCCAGACCCAACACACCTGGCTGTACTATTTAGATGCCCCTGAAGGCCTTCGTTGTCTGGATCAGGTGTGCTAGATTTGGGTCAGAGCTAAACTCTGCAGGGTGGTGGATCTTCAGGACCAGGACTGAGCACCCCTGGTTTAGAGAAACATCTTCACAGTGGTGGTGATAGGAACCAGACGTCTTCCTACAAAAGCTCCCTCACAGGACGTTATTACATAAAATGGTTATGAATAGTTTTATGACAATAGCGCTAAAATAGTCCAAAGAAAACAAATTGTCCACTATTTTATCATTGTGGTGGGTTTGGATAGTAAGTAAAATGTGTGTTGTTGACATCACAACCCCTGGTTCTTATCTCCACCAGAGTCAGTAAGTTTATCTAGAATGACACATTTCACATTAAATCAGTTCTGAATGGCTGTTTACATCTCAATCACATCTCAGTTTTTCAGTGGAATTCCCCTTTTAGTCTCTTTCACCAAAATCTTCTTTGTTTTTTTCTTAAATGTGTTCTTGAGAAAGGCCCTAGGACCTTTCTTCAGTGCTCTTGAGTGTGTGTAGATTCTGTTCTTACCTAAAAACAAATCCCAAATACACTGGTGAATGTCAGAATCTTCGTAAAACTGCGTAATTGGGTTTTAAGAAGACATTCCTTCTTAAGAACGGTTGGTGAATGAGGCCCAGGAATGGAGGAATGAAGTTTTTTACTATCTGAATCTATACATATCTGAATGTTTGTGTAACTTCTTTCATGTTCCTGTTAGTCTCTTTCAGAAAGTGTCAGGCTTGCCAATCACTGGAAAAATCGATGAAGCCACTATTATGCAAATGAGGCAGCCACGCTGTGGTGTGGAGGACCCTTTCAACCAGAAGACTATGAGATACAGGAGGTTTGGTGGTAAGTAACATATCTCTCATACTTCTCATTTGTCAGCTCATTTTCCTGCTGGGCAGCTGTGGTATTTTTTAACAGAGAGTTTTCTTCATGCTGCAAGTCTGTACATGAGCTAGTGAAGGTCCTCTAATCTTGGCAGTGCATGCAGAACAGCTCTGGAGGGGTGGTTTGTAGCCTGTGTTCTTCATTCCAGGAAAATGACTCATCCTGGACCCTGCGCGTGGGACCGTTTTACTGTTTACTTTTACATTTTCAAGAGGTAGAATTTGTCCTGCAGAAACTGTTGACTGGAAAACTGAAATAATACTTATTATATGTAATAATATGTATGTTTCGGGCTCAAAAGCAGTTGCAACGCAGATTTGTGACTCTGTTCTTCCTTTGTTTTGCAGGAGTTTGGAGAAAGAGAAGCCTCACTTATCGTATCTATAACTACACCCCAGATATGGGGAAGGCTGCTACTCAGAGGGCCATCCGATCTGCCTTCAAGTACTGGAGTGACGTCGCTCCCTTAAGCTTCAAGGAGGTCGACTACGGCCGTCCAGACATTAGAATCTCCTTCCATGATAGGAAGGGATGTCCCTCACCTTTTGATGGGCCAGGTGAGTCAGAGACTATAAAGTTTTATGCAAAATTTGGGGTCAAATTTACACGTTTTGTTGATTTTCTAAGTGAAAATAAATGAACACATCCTTTACAGAGAGCACACTTCTGCACTTTGTAATGCACAGCTCCTTTTGTACAGAATTTTTGCATACTGGGGAAAAAATAAACCAAAAGTTATGGCACATTTTATATTTTAAGTTTTATTTTTTGCAATATGTTAAAATCAGCAAATGAATAGAAACTGTGCGATGAAATTTTTAAGTTTATTTAATAAACAGGATGTGTTCACATAGAAAATCACTGAAACATGTAGTTTGGGTATTCAAATCTTTGCATATGAGTGTATATACTAGGTGTGGGCAAGACTCTTCAAAATATTTTCTCATATGTGTGTATATATATATATACATATATATATATATATATATATATATATATATATATATATATATATATATATATATTTATTCAGTGCTTCACATGCTGTGTGTCACTATTTAATCAGAGACAGTTTTGCTCTCTTAGACTCCGAAAATTGTCAGGATTGAGGTTCATGTATCATCATATTGCACATCCCTCTTAAACGCTACTATTCAAATGATGGGAATCAATGTTTTAAATAATATAAAACCAAACACATTCATAAAATGATTCTAATATCCTCGTCCTGTTCAACTTCACAACTTTAAAATAATTAGAAGGACAGTAAAAGAGAGAGTTAAAGTGAAGAGTGTCCAGACTGAAGCTACGGCTACAGATGATTTTAACAAGACTGAGAAAGCTGTACAGTGATCGAGGAATGATGAGAATTCAGTTTTTAGTAAAATAAATATGCAGAATGCAACGCATTGCTAAAATGGAGATCAAAGATAAGTTAACAAAAATGTATGTGAACAGATTACAGTGGGGTTTTTATTAATTTTATTCACTTCTTGTTCTCAGAATTTTTGAAATATTGAAAAAAAAAGTAAACAAGAAAACCTTTTGGTGAATAGTTTATATATAATACCTAAATCTACATTGTATGAGTTGCAATAAGAATAACAGGTAAAAAACCTGTTTTAGATGTTTAGATGCTTTAGAGATGATGTACAGAGAATATTATTGTATATCTCTATAAAATTAGTTTGTTTTACAGTCACTCACCAGGGCTTTAGAGAAGTTGACCTATATTATTTAAGCGCTGGTCTATATTATTTCAGATGCAGTAGGAAGGTTTTGGAGTTAATTCGAAAGCTTGAAAGTTTTTACTTTAAAACCAATGTTCCTTAAACTATGAGCTCAGATCCTAAGGTACTGCCAGTGGGTAACCTCAGAAGAACCTCTACTGGAACGCCAGGGATAACACAGCAAAGACGTTTTACGGAAGGCTAGTCTTAAATTATCTGTCTTGAATCACTTGTTTTAAAGCCTTTGACCACAACTGTCGCAACTACAGGCCAACGAGGCAGTGGTCACCAACCCTGGACATCTACTGTTGTACTTACAACACTTCATAGCCTTTTTAAATGTGTGAGTTGTTTACAAACCTCAGAAAAAAAAACAAGCATCATAATCCATATTGTGTATCATAAAAATGACTGCAAATATCGTGATGTTATATATTTGCTTTTTCACCCACTCATAATTGGAACTGCACTCTGGTCTCCAAGTGGAGAGTTTTGCTGAGAGATGTGTCTAGAACTCAGCTAGAACGCAGCTGTAGCTAAAGCTTAAAGTAGAGCGAAGTAAATCTGCGCTCTCGTTTATATTGTTTAGCCTATACTAGCACATTATCACAGACTGACACATACTGGACATTAAATGTTGCGGCTCCCAAGGTGGTTTGACTTTGTTGAAAGGCAAAATGGCTCTTCTGAACATTTGGGTTGTGACTCCTGACCTAACCTGGCTTTTAACGCAGAGGGAGCCGGTCGGATTTCTCGCTCATTCAGTAGTGTTTTTGTTATGTGCCGCCACAGACTGTCCGGGCGCTGCACTTACCCTCTTCCAGATCCGCCTTTTGCATTCTGTCAACATTACATTATAAATTAAATATTTAGAAAATCGATTTTTGACATTTATGAATCGATTCAGAATCGCTCACGTCCGCATCGCGATGCATCTAAGAATCGAGTTTTTCCCGCACCCCTATTGTGGATATTGTCTATTGTTAAAGAACACTGGCCAAGTGCTTATTAAAATGAGGGCATTATTAGTGCTACATAATTGGACTAATCCAGTACAGTATGTGAAGCATTGAATAAAACTTATTGGGCCTCATTCACCAACCGATCATTAGAAGAAATGTCTTCTTAAAACCAACTTATGCAGTTTTTACGAAGATTCTGACATTCACCAATATTTTCTTATTAGGGATTTGTTCTTAGGTAAGGACATAATCTACACACACTCAAGAGCACAAAGGTGTGAACAGTTCTGTGGTTTAAAAATGCCATGAATCTGACGTAGACTTTTTCTTAGGATCTTTCTCAAGAACAAATTTAAGAACAAACTTAGGAAAAATATCGGTGAATGAGGCCCAGAGTTTTCATGGCTGTTTTTAAACATGGCATTATGAGTCCTTTGTGTCTATGTGTAAAAATATTGCAATGCGAAGTGTAAACAGTCATTCAGAGTGGTTTGGTGTGATATGGTTGATTGTAGAGACTGATTTCTTTACAGTGGTGGTGATAGGAACCAGGGGTCGCCATGACTACAACACAAATACAGACATTTTATTTACTATCCAAAAATATGGAACTGATGATAGAGAAATAGTTATAAATCTGAAAACAAAAGTTTTCTTTGGGGACTATTTTGCCTTGTAACACCCTTCAAGTACCTCTCCACCGTGAATGGATTAAAATAAATTAATTACATTACATTTTAGACCAAAGTCTTACTAGAAAACTATCATAAAACAATGTCTGAGGCATCAGGCAGTGTATTCATAACCATTTCATGCAATAACTTTCTGTGAGGGAGCTTTTAGAGGTGGACGTCTGGTTCCTATCACCACCACTGTAAACAATTCTGACTCAGTAAGTTTCTCTAGAACGGAGCATTTCACACCAAACCACTCTGAATGGCTCTGTTTACATCTCAAATGTTTAATCATGTAGAATGTCATGTAGAGTTTCCCTTTAAGTTACTGTGATTTTACCACAGCTAAAGTGGGTTTAAGGGGTTCTAAGAACAGCAACAGTATAATATATGATAAATAAATTTATTATATTATATCCGCATAAATAACTTCTATTTTGCAATGTGTAATGTGTGTATATCACCCACCCTTAACTTTGTGCTAAGTGCTTTGAAGTGGAGGCTAACACTGTAACTGAATTATTTCTTTAACAAAAAAATGTTTGATAACTAATTGAGGTTACAAGTGACACATTACACATGCTAGTTTTAGGCTGGAATGCCTCTTTAAGTTATCATGTTTGGCTGCTTTATTAAAACCCCAGCCATGCTAATCTACCAGCCAGTGCAGTTATTAATCCATGTTTCTTAACCTGCTGAATCCCGTCCTGTCCGTAGGTCATGTACTTGCTCATGCTGAAGCACCTCCTTCAGGGATCGTCCACTTCGATGAGGATGAGTTCTGGACGGAGGGCAAGTACTACGGCTCCAACCTGCGCATTGTCGCTGCTCACGAGATAGGCCACGCCCTCGGCCTCGGCCACTCCCAGTACAAAAGCGCTCTTATGGCTGCACACTACACCGGCTATCAAGCCAACTTCAGACTGCACCCTGATGACATCAGAGGCATCCAGGCTTTATATGGTAATTATACAAAATAATCTAGTCTTTAATGGTGAAAAGGGAACCAAGGGCTGGATTCACGAAAGAAAATCTGCTTAAATGTGTTTTTGGTGATACTTTATTTTGATGGTCCTTTTTAGATGAAACAAACACTCAACAGACTCTCAGTAACATGTCAAAAATATGTGAGGGTTAGGATCAGGTTTTGGTTTGAGGTTAAGGTTAGGGTTAGGATTAGGGCCAGCGTTAGGATTAGGTTTTGGGTTGAGGTTAAGGTTAGGATTCGGATTACAATATTAACATTACATCTACTTAATGTAAGTAATGTATCAACAGAACATCTTCAAGATATTTACTTCAATGTATTCAGATGCTTCACTACTGCTACTTCACTGCTATGTTGTTAATGTGTTACTGATAATCTGTTCAGAGTTTATTAATCATCTACAAAGGACCGCTCCAAATAAAGTGTTACCCAGTTTTTTCTTAATCCATTCTTAAGAAAAAAGTTATGAAAAATTGTTATTCTTCAAATAATGTCTCAAGAATTCTTTTTCTTCGTCTTAAGTATTTTCTTAAGAAAATTTCTAAGAATAAGTGAAAACGTGTTCTTAAAAGTTTTCTTAACCTTACAATGGCCTCACACTTGTCTTAGGCTGTAAGAGCTGATGAGGTGAGAATCTAAATTTATCTGCTCCTTCTGCCCATCCTCATCTCTTGCTTTCCACCGTCACTCCACAATTATCGTATTTTTGAAGGAGGTTTTTTTTCTGTTGGCTGTTTTTTCCATCATCACCTCTAGTTCTTGTTTGCTAAAATTTTTAAAGACTTGGTTTGATGTTTTTTCTCCATTTTGCTCCTCTGAGCGGATTAAACTAAATAATGGAAATAACAGTTAAAACAAATCCAAAATATATGAAAGGGTAAAATGCAACAGAGCCTACATGAGAAAATAATAAAGATTTCCTATGAAAATCTGAAGGAAATGATTAAGATTATCTTATAAGAACATTTGAGAACTTCTGAAGTTTTTCTTTCCGAACTGGGCCTCACTCACCAACCGTGCTTAAGAAGAAATTTTTTCTCACTTATGCAGTTTTCACGAAGACTCTAACATTCACCAATGTTTTCTTATTTGGGATTTGTTCTTAGGTAAGAACAGAATCTACACACACTCGAGCACAAAGGTGCGAACAGTTTTATGTGGTTTAAGAACACGTCATGAATCTGACGCAGACTTTTTCTTAGGACCTTTCTCAAGAACACATTTAAGAACAAACTTAGGAAGATATTGGAGAGTGAGGTCCAATGTTCTGAACTTCTTACTGTTTGTCCTAAGAACCTTCACAAGTTTTTTTTTGAGAAAGCTTTTGTGAATCTGGCCCCTGTAGTTTTTTTAATGACATGTCTTTAGTTGACTCATTTGAAGTGATTGAAGCATGTCATTAGCATAAGTTTAGGGGCATAATTGTTTATGATGTGAAACCATTTTTTTATGAAATACTCTAAATGACTAGGCATATCAAATTAGCACGAGATGAACGGAAGTAAAATATATTGTGTGATACTAGAAATTACAGATGTAATTTTCAGATATCATTTTCAGGTACCAGAACAGTGTTTTATGTTGTATACAATATAAAACGAATAGCACTGTAAATACATTGGATCCTTAGATTACATCATAATCCCAACAGTTTGAAGACATTTCTTCTGAAATGAAGGGTATTAATAGTGAGTTTGCCCCTTTTTGCTGCAGTAACAGCCTCTGCTCTTCTGGGAAGGCTTTACACTAGATGTTGGAACATCGCTGTGAGGATTTGATTGAGCATTAGTGAGGTCAGGTACTGATGTTGGTTGGATGGTCAGTTCTGGATCATCCCAAAGGTATTGGATGGAGCTCAATCACTCCAGAGAACGTAGTTCCACTGCTCCACAGCCCAATGCTGGGGGGGTTATACCCCTCTAGCCCACATTAGGCATTGGTCATGGTCACCTTAGGCTCATGTGTGGCTTCTCCAGAGTGTCCCAGACTATTAGCAGTGCTTTTCTATGGCTGTGTGCGCACCTCAAAGTGTCTGAATTGACTAACTAGAACGAGTGTCTGGATACTTTTGGATACATTTTTATTGTGCATACCACTTATTCCACCACTCTTTTCCATTCAGGTAAAAGAATCTCAAGCACAACCACAGATGAAAATATTTATACCACGTACCCCACAACCATATCACCTTTTCCGAGAGGAGAGGTTCTAGATCCATGTGATGCCAAACTTGACGCCATAATGCTGGGTAAGAGAGAGAAAAACCGCAGCTCTCCGAAACAGGATTATGCCATGAGGTTTATTTGTACTAGAATCACCATAAAACATTGTTTTGATTCATAACAGGTCCTTGGCGCAAGACCTTCGCTTTCAGCGGGGACTATGTGTGGACAATAACAGATATGGGCCATAACCCTCCCATGAAGATCAGCCAGCTGTGGAAGGGGCTGCCAGGGAACCTCAATGCAGCTGTGCACTCTCAGAGAACCAACAAGACCTACTTTTTTAAAGGTTTTTTTAAAACCTTTTTCATACAAATAGGATAGAAATTTATCATAATATCATAATAATTATAATGATTAAAGAGCGCATTCTGATTCCTGAGTGAATAAAGAATAAAATTAATAAAGGCTTAATAATTGTTTATTTAGTCATTTTCACGTCTCCACTAAATATAACGTTTGATAGTTTGTTGGACAATTTGTCTGAATTTAATCACAGGGCAGGAAATAGGATGGAGCGTCATAGTTTTAACGAGACAGGATGTGATCTTTGTGCTATGATGCTTTTGGAAAATGTATCAAAGCTGCGTTCAAACGGCTGCATTCTGCATCACATGATTTTATTTGGCTGTTTAATGACTAACAAACGGTTCATTGTGAGTCATTTTGTTTCTGGGTATTCAGCTTAAAACACAGAGTAATGACTCTTAGATTCGTCATCATAGAAGACGTGAATGCGGTAACTCTTACTAGATACACTTTCCAGCTTTGCTTACTATGACCAGTGTACTTAGAGTGACCAAACAGAATGAATGTAAGTCACTGCTGTTACTCTGCAGTCTGACTGCAGTCAAATTTCTTCAGCAGAAATATTTGTGTGACTAGAGGAATAAACACAACTGATAGCAAACAGCAGCACTCGTATACAAACCAAGGCATTCCATCTATGCTAAATGAATATGCCTGGATGCAATGCAGTTTCATATATATATGTACAGTTATATGCAAAACTCTGGGCACCCCAGTGAAAATACATTAGCACATCCTCAAAAATGGCAACTTATTTACACTTAGAAAACAAATTAAAATTTGACTATATATATGTATACATATAAATACGTGTGTGTGTGTATATATATATATATATATATATACGTGTGTGTGTGTATATATATATATATATATATATATACGTGTGTGTGTGTATATTGGGCTAATTCTGCAGTTGGAAAACCGTTAACAGTTTAGAATGTGCTTCTGTCGTTTTTATTGCTGTTTGGATTTTCATAATGCCATTGATTATAAGATAAAATAATTGGTTAAAATTTTCATGATTAATTGTCAATAATTAGTTGGCAATTTGCATGAATTTCTATTGGTTGGCCTTTTTTAAAACCTCAGTTACGTGATTAATCATGAAAGTAGTTTATACAGTTATCAGAATTATGGATAGTGAGGGCCTCTCTGTAACAGTGGATAGTGAGGGCCCCTCTGTAACAGTGGATAGTGAGGGCCCCTCTATATAAACACCTTCAAAAACTTTGTGTTCTTTATCCTTTATGCTTCTCTCCAGGTGACAAAGTATGGCGGTTTACAAATTTCCTGCTCGACTACAGATACCCTAAAGAGCTGAGGAGGATCCCTGCCAACATTGATGCAGCCTTGTATTACGAGAAGAACAAGAAAATCTTCTTTTTTAAGGTACTGCACAGCCACGTGGACAGCTGCCCAAGTTCCACCAGCTTTTTCCATATTTGTACACCGCAGCTGTAACTCAGGACCACAAGGAGGCAGTCACGCTACATCTATACACACACACTGACTTCTAGGCAGCCCCTAATTATGAACTACATCCAGTGTGATTATTTTGAGTCAGAGCGGTTGCTAGTGTGATATTTTATTGCCCTCCTTTTTTCACACATGAACTTTCCATCTTACACAGCACTAGGAGTGTATCAGCATACATTACAGTGACCGTTCAGCAAATTAAATTCTCCCCTTACAAGTAATACAGTCAACCATCCAAGATATGCTTTTTCAGTTTTGCACTGGGGCTGAAGCTAATATGGCTAACAAATAATGGAAGCTTATATACACCAATTAACATTGTGATAACTGTGCAGTGATGTGCAAATCTTTGGGCCCCCCTGGTTAAATTACATGTTTTGTTGAAAAGTGAAAATAAGTCAACACATCCTCTAAAGAGAACACATTTTAATGCAGAATTACTGTTTACTTACTGATTTTAACATACTGCATAACAATAAAACATGCAGAAAATGCCATTTGAGTGTGCTCTCTGCAGAGGATGTATTTATGACTTATTTTCACTTAGGAAATGAACAAAACATGCAGTTTTAGGGGTATTTAAACTTTTGAACATGCCTTAATTATCACATTTGCCTCAAACTGTGCCGAGTTGTTCAGTAGATTAAAAACTAGAGATGTGATGATTCACAAAATTCATAATTTGGCTTGATATTAGAATCAGAATCAGGCTTTATTGGCCAAGTATGTTTGTACATAGAAGGAATTTGTCTTCAGTTACGCAGTAGCTCACGGTAACACAGTAACTAAGGCTGGTACTGTGGTCTCTCAAGTTCATAAATTTTTCAATACAACCAAAAATACAGAGTGCCTGAAAATCTGCCTTAGGTTATTGGCAGTGTTTACATTTTCATTTATTAGAGTATTCAACATTACAAAAACTAGCCACAAGCTAATATACCCAGATAGCAAGCATTTATCGGTCTGCTAGCTTGATAAGGTCGGCACCCCCACTGACTGTTTGCCACTGCTGGTCCACCCTCGGACCACCCAGATTACTGTCCTGCATACAAGCTGTAACTAGGTTTTAATCTCCTTAAACTGATTTTAAATGTACAGAGCCTTTTATTTTGGAAAATAAACTAAGACAAATATTACAAACAACTGAGAGGAAAAAAATAAATTATTAGGTCTAATATGAAATGGTATATAACTAAAGAAATGATGTATAACTAAAGAAAGAAGAAAAGGAAAAATGAGTAAATTGCACTGTGAGTGGAAAATGAGCAATGATAAGTGGAATTTTGTCTAATACTCTGCTTAAACACCGGTGGGCCGCCCAGAAAATGCTGAGCATAATGCCACTGGACCGCCAGCTTTGCCGTCAGCAGGCTGACGGTGGTCCACTATCCTCTTGCTATCACAGGTATTAGCTTTTCCTCCCTGCTCTCGGTTTTAAGGTAAAAAGGAAGCAGTATTTTCAGTGATGCAAGGGTCTGGGCTCATTATGGGCTGTTTTTTTCTTTTTTTATATTTCATTCAGTACAATCAGTATTAAGCCGAGTATTACAAACTACTAGAGGGCAGCAGGCCACTGTTGGCCCACTGACGGCAAATCTGACGACCCACTGGAGTTTTGCTCAGCGTTCTCTGGGCGGCCCACCAGTGGTTAAGAAGAGTATTTGACAAAATGCTGCTTTTCAGCGCTCATTTTTCACTCACTGTCCAGTTTACTTATTTTTCCTTCATTTCTTTTGTTCTCCTTTGTAAGTTAGTTTAGTAAATCATTTTAATCAAGCACAGTGTCAGCAACAACATTTTCAACAAAATCGTTTATATTAGGCCTAGTCTTAGTTTTTTCTCTCAATTGTTTTAATAATTGTCTTAGTTTATTTTCCAAAATAAAAGTCTATGTGCATTTAAAATCTGTTTGAGGAGATTAAAAAGTAGTTAGAGCTTGAACACAAGACAATAATCTGGGTGGTCCGAAAGTAGACCAGCAGTAGCATACAGTCAGCAGGGTGCCAACCTTATCAAGCCAGCGCACCAATATATGGGACTTTTATTAGCTCCAGTAGGCCTATGTGGAATGTGTTATTCAATATCTGTGTGTACTGCATTGAGAGGCTTATATTGAACAAGACAATATCATATGTTGTATTTCTACAGTCCTACTAAAAACCTGTCTGCCATCTTGAATTGTGTCCATTTATATAATTGGTGAGGTTTAAGCTTTCATTGCTTGTTAGCATCAGCCTTGTAGCTCCAGTGCAGAACTAGAGATGCAAACTTCAGACTCCAAACATGCCTTGGCTGATGGACTGCATTGGTTCGATGAGTGAAAACTGTGTACATTTTTGGAGAAGTCTGAGTTTCCTGCCTCTCTTCTTTCTACAGGGTTCAGGTTATTGGCAGTGGGACGAAATAGCTTACAATGACCTCAGCATCTATCCCAAGCCCATTTCCCGCCTTTTCACTGGCATCCCATCCAATCCTGACGCAGCTCTCACGTGGGCCAACGGAAAGATCTACTTCTTCAAGGGTGACAAGTACTGGCGCATGAGTAACCAGCTGATTGCTGAACCCGGATACCCCCTCAGCAAGCGTGAGCGCTGGATGAGATGCAACCAGTGAACCACTAGAGGGCAGCAAAGACCTTGTGAGAACACTATGCTTCAGAATGGGGTGTCCGCAATACTGTCACTGTACAACAAGACTTTTGGGTTTTAGAAACACAAGCTACGTGATTATAGCTGTTTTGGGCTGAGAACGGTTAACACTCGGGTTCCTCTCATGCAGGCCTGAAGGACTCCTTTACTCAGCTCTTGAAGTCTCAGTTCAGTCGTGTTATTACATGGGTGCTCATTTCAGGGAACGGACTTCAAACATACTGTCGGTGCACTGAGAAAGAGTTGAATACACTTGAGTACATTTGCCACGTGTATTATAGTGTTTTTCTGTAGCAAAAAGTGCCTTGAGCTTTTCATGGGTAAACGCTCAGGCCGTTCTCAGGCAAGATGGGGGATTTTTATATATATATTTGTTTTATTTCAGTTCACATCACTCAGGCCTGTTGTTTGATTTAGTTTTGCTCAGAAATTTTCACCAAGTACTTTTACAAAAAGCAAATGAAACAAGTTTTATAAAGAAAAAAGTAATCATGTCATGTTTTTTGGCCCTGAGCCAAAGTACCAAAGACTGTATGCGGGCAAGAGATTTTGTTATTGGAGTGAAACGCTCTGCTTCTTTCAATGTAGCTTCATCGTTTCTGTATGATTCTCTAAGCTTTATAAGGCAAATCTGCATCTTATAATTATTAGCATTCCAGATTAGATTTGATACGTCTGATGTTCAGTTATGTTAACTAATAAATTTTAAACATACAAGCACAAAAGAAACCTTGGCATGTTTTTTTCTAGCATTTTCATCATCATTAAATGACTAATTTGGTGAAAATACTGTATATTGCAAGTATTGCAAATTGCATGTTTTATGCAATGTATTTTCTATGTGAAAATAAGTTAACATCCTCTACAGAGAACACTAAAATACTAAAACTTTTTCTGCAAATTTTAGTGCATAATTTCTATTTATGTGCTGAGTTTAACATATTGATAAAAATAAGACAAAATATAAAACGTGCAGTAACTTTTGCACAAGCTCCTTTTTATGTTTTGTTTTTTCCTCTTACCATGTTTAATTCAGCTAATAAATAGAATTTGTGCTTTAAAATGTGCATAAAAAATGGACAAAACTACAGTTTTTAGCTATCGCTGCTGTCAGAAAAAAACCTTGTATCTCCAAAATGACAAAAACTACTTTAATTTTTGATGCAAGTCAATGGAACCAGACTTTTTTCCCCCCAAGTACAGGGTGATTCAAAAAAGATTCATCTGATTTCAAAGCGGCATATTTTTACAACCGTGAGGCACCTAGGAACCAATCACATACCAACTGAAAGACGGGGTCATCGAGTTTCTGACTGTCACTGGAAGATGGCTCCCTTCAGTCTGAGGGGAGATGGAGACCCCTGAGCAGAAAGCGTTTTCTCCACTTCAAGAAGAGTGAATCAGTCATAACTGTGCAACGTGACTTTTGTTGGCAGTGAACCTCCAACAGCTCAGAGCGTTCGTCGTTGGTTCCACAACACTGGATGATCTCTGAAATCGCATTGAAAGAGCCGTGAGTACAGAGACCCCCGACATGCTCAATCGAGTATGGGACGAATTTGACTATGGTGTTGATGTTGTCCACACAGCTGGAGGAGGTTCATACTGAGCACTTAAAAAATTACATAATAAACTTTATGCTCATTTAAACCATTTACAACTTACTGCATTGTTCTGTAATGATTTACAAGTGAAATAAATAATTTTGAAATGAATCTTTTTGAATCACCCTGTATTTTTGGGCTGTTTCTGTTGGTCTGTTCATTGTGAAATTTACACACAATATAAAGGGCGACAAACATTTTCAAATTATGCAAAAAACTGAAAAACTGATAAAAATGGAGATAGGAGGTTTTATTCTGACTGCAGGGATGTGCAGCATACTAAATCTGCTAAGTCTGTTAGACATTATTGAGCACCTCCACATGCGCTTTAGACTACATTAGCCACGTAGCTTCAGTGCAAAACTAAAGCACATTTCACACAGCAAACACGATCAAAAACGTGGTGTACGAGGATAAAACTGTGCAGATTGGGTTTATTGCCAAACTACTCAACACAAGGAGTTCTTATATATAATGACACTGTATTGATTTAAGCCTTTTCTTCTTCAAGCTAAACACACCCAGCGCCTCACACAGGCTCCAGACAGAGTATGATGTCACTCCAACAGCTAATGAGAAACAGCTATCATAAATAAATGCATGATGTCAAATTAGGTGCAAGCCATGTGTTTAGGGATCATTTCACTCAACTGTGTGAACAGAGTAGCTTCATACTATAAGATGGCTGTGATGTAATACGGCGGGTGTGGTTTTCAGACACAGGCCTTCGAAAAAAAAAACACATTTTAGGAAAGTATGTATTTCTTTGTCAGGGAAAGTGGATAGCTCTTTGTGGGGCCCACAATTAACTCTAAGCTGCAATTTCATGCTTTTGTCCACCCAGTTTATACGCTGGCAGGTTGGAGGGCCAGTCCCACAAAATATAAAAATATAGGGACACTCCAAAGTGAAAAATGTAACCATCACTACTTCTGCTGTAAACATGCGTACTCGCCTCCTAGGTAGACTCAGGAGGTTCTCTGGTTTAAAGATGAGGAAAACCCCCTTTTGATGATGCGTCTTGAAGGTGGGTGGAAATTCTGAAAAACTACACCTGTTTTTTATTGGGTTTTTGGGGGTGGGGTGCTAATGCACAAAGAAGCTTGACAGCTAATGTTCCTGCTAGCAAGCTGGAAATCACAAGTGTAGTTAGGAGCCGCTACATCAATGAATTTCTAATTCTTGGAAATGGTTCACATTATTTGCGCAATGCATGCTGGGTCGTGTAGTGAAAGAACACTGATGGATGAAAAACACAAAAATGATACAAACATTTTAAAACTGATGACAGAATTACATAACATGGCATAACATGAAATGCTACACTCTTAAAATGATGGTCCTTCAAGGCTTTTTTAGAAAAGAAAAGTGGTTCTATATAGAACCATGAACATTTAAAGAACCCTTTGCATGATTAAATGGTTCCTTGCATCCAGAAAGATTGATGGAGAATGTGTTGTAGATGGTACCATAACGAACCTTTTTAAAAAGAATGTAACTGCTGCACCATTTAAGGTGGAACAGGAAAATTCAAACAAGAATCTGGTGAATGCGAAACTGACATCAGCTTCATGACTTTATAGCGTTCAACAGTTTCTTGTTGCAGATTAAACGTATCAGGAAACCAGCTGGAGTGATTATAAACACAAATAAGTCCATTTGTCTCCAAATTATCGATGTTCGTCTTAAATCTTTCTCTTTGCCCTTTTCGCTACTAGCTAGGCAAGACTGTTATCTGTGACACTATGGTGACCAGGAGTCTGTGCACCAACCTTCAGGGTTAAAGGGTGAATTAGCAGTTATACATTAACTTCAGTGTTTAAGACCATTTATTGTTAAAACTGTGTTAAACGATCAGCAGAGCTTCATTTTACTGCAAAGGAGGATTATTTTATTTTTTACCTGAAAATCTAATTCTGCTGTGGAGCCACAACAGAGCTGTAAAAGAGCCACATTTTGCCGACCCCTAATCTAGACTATAGTTTTGTTTTAAAAATTGACAGAGAATCTTATTTTGGCCAAAAAAAAAATAAGTGTATACTTTATAAAATCATATAATATCAGTGCAAGTGAATCAGCACCTTGAGACAAGTTGATGTAGTTGTACCCCCTACTGACTGAATATATTTGCTGTCAGTCAAACAGGATGTGAATACAGCCACGACAGTCTAGTTTGAACAAATGAACCAACACCGCAGTAATACTGGTTTATAGACTTCATAAGTTTTTATAAACATATTTATAGAAACTCAGATTCATGTCATTGTCTTAAGAAAGCAACAATAAGAGCATTGAGTGTGATTTACTTGGTAACAGTGACTGAAATGACAGATGGTAAAAGAAAAGTAATAAGGCACTGAGAGAACACAGTCTTACACAATGAGTTTTTGCGTCTCATGTAGCAGAACCAAAATGGAAACTACAAAATTCTCAATTTCACCACAAGGCACTGATTAATAGAATTTTAAGTGCACTCAAAAGTCTGCTTCAGTCTGTATAGGCTCACTAACTTCCAGCAATCTCAAGGTATTTTAGTTTACAGAACGCTTAGTGTGCAGCTGAGCACTGAAAAGGCACTGCTATAGTGTAGAAGAATGAAAATGAGTATTAGAAAAACATACGAGCAAATAAAATTACACACAACTACACGTAAAAAGACAGTCCTGTATTAGAAAGAGAAAATCTAACTGCTCTCAGTCTCAGCATCCTTATAAAATCATAAAACTATTCACACGGATCCGACTGTAGAAACAACACAGACGCCAGTAACTCAATTATACACAATTATACAATTCATCCTTTAAAAAATGAATTTTTTTGTAAAAAAACAAAAAAAAACAAAAAAAAACTCACTCACACATACACATGCACATCTTCACACTGTTCTGCTGAAGTTTGAAGCTGCAGAGCAGTAACAGCAAATAACCTCATCCCAGATCTACTGCTGAGAACTGAGAAGACACTTCTACTAATCAACACTTCAGATCAGCTGTTCATGCAGAATATGAGAGATGGACACCTCTAGTGTCAACATCGGTCACTTTTCACTTATTCACACATGCCTTCACATCACATTATGCTTAAGACCTTGTAAGCTACATGAAAAAAAAAGTTAAAGGGGAATTCCACTGATTTTCTGCATAATGAAATAGTTAAGATGTAAACCGAGAGTTCAGGGTGGTTTGGTGTGAAACGCTCTGTTCTAGAGAAACTTACTGAGTCAGAATAGTTCACAGTGGTGGTGATAGGAACCAGACGTCCACCTCTAAAAGCTCCCTCACAGAAAGTTACTAAATTAAATGGTTATAAATACAGGTGTCTGATGTCTGAGACACTGTTTTATGAAAGTTTTCATAATTTTGGTCTGAACACATCCATGGTGGAGAGGTACATGCAGGGTGTTGTGAGGCAAAATACTCCCGAAAGAAAACATACATTCCATATAAAAGCTCAGTAGACATGTATTCACACTGATGGTTTTGGATAGTAAATAAAATGTCTATATTTGCACTGTAAACATTCCCATCACCACCACTGTAGAGAAATCTGACTCTACAATCTCACACGAAACCACTCTGAATGACTTTGTTCACTTCTCAAGCATTAAATAACACAGAAATTTCAAAAAGTTCGTTGACTTCCCCTTTCAGAAGTCATAACAGCTATATTAAACCTAAGCAGACAGTATGTACTGGCTGGGTGAAGGTGGCAAACTTAAAATTTGGATTAGATTGATGGTAAAAGTAAGGAAGTTCTAAAATAGGGGCTGAGCAATAGAACAATAAATACTGTTAAATTGGTTTGTTGACAAATGAAGAGCAAAACTAATGTTATAAACAGGCCTAACACATATCTGTGCACAGTTTGATCTGCCGTCAAGTCCTAGTGTTTTCAAATTCCCACAATATAGACTAAACGTGTATCCTGATAAATGTCACTAAGGTCAGAATCTTTTATTGACCCTCAGTGTACCATGCTACTGTGCACTCTCCTCAGGCTGTTAGTGCTGTGGTCTCTTGATGGAACTCAGGAGCGAGCTGGTGGCGTGGTGGCTGTGAGCGGTACTGTGGAGCCAGTCTCATAGTCAAAGTCAACCACGGTGTGGTTGGTGGTGCTCAGGCTGCTCAGAGATGTGCCTGTTCCCATCTGACGGTCCCGAAGACTCTGCAGGTAGCTCTTGTTTTTAGCAGAGAAAGAGGGAGAAAATGAAAGTGAATTAGCCTTGAGACAGTAATGAAAACTGGTTTCTCTCTGAAAGCAGAATTGCAGAGGTGGGAACATGTCACTAAGTTGCAGGTAACAAGGAAGTTTTAAGTCTTCATACTCAAATCCCAAGTCCCAAGTCTCGATTCAAGTCCCGAGTCAGTGAAGACGAGTCTCAAGTCGAGTCCCTAGTCAACAGTCCTAATCTTCGAGTCATAAACAAGTCAGTCTGCATTCTTCAGCTAATTTAAGGCCGTAACTCTGGATAATAGTAACAATACTATAGCCTTCTAATGACAGCACATTAGCAGTGTATGGCTGTATTAACAGAGTACTATTCAACTTAATAAAAAAAAAAAAAAGTTATATTTAAAGATAATTTTTGATGGGCGCGCATGTTTAAAATAAAAACTAGTTCAGCCAACTAAAAAGAACAGCTAGGTCAAATTGAATTTAGACAACAATGGAAACCAAAATGATCGAGCTGAACAAACTTTACAGAGAATACAGCAAAATGATGAAGGTATGAGGCTGAAGTTGACTTTTTATTCACCAGCTTCTTATTTGAATTTCTCGTTCCACCTTAAATGGTGCAGCAGTTATGTTCCAGCACCTCACTGCTGCACCATTTAAGGGGAAATGGCAAATTCCAATGTGAATCTGGTGAATAAAAAGTCAATTTCAGCTCTGTGGTGAATGTTGAGCTTGTTTTATCTGCAGAAGCTGTTAAAATCGTTCAAATAGACAGAGCTGTGTTTCTTTTGTTTTGCTGCCATGAGGAAGCAGTGAGCTGGGCGCATTGATGCTGTTGACACTTCACTTGTTTCCAGCTTATGGAGGCGAACTTGAGCTCTAACGCTTCTCTCATCTTCTGAAATAAAAAACGGCGAGCATAAACACAGTAACAGACATCTGACGACGCTGCTGTTTATTCAATTTACGGCAGGAAACAAATTCATTCACATGAACAGCAACTGACTCTGCAGAGTCTGCAGTCAGACTCTCCATGTTTCTTCCACTTTGAGTCTCTTTCTGAGTCTTAAAGCTGAAGTCCGAGTCAGAGTCACTGGTGTTGAAGTCAAAGTCGAGTCACAGGTCTTTCCTGATTTTCTCGAGTCGAGTCTCAAGTCATCAAATTCGTGACTCGAGTCGGACTCGAGTCAAGTCATGTGACTCGAGTCCACAACTCTGTAGAATTGTTCTAGTGCTTCATATGGCTAATTTAATTTCCATTTCTTCTCCTTCACATCCAACTGGGATCTAACAACATAATCATCACTGCAAAAGTCAGACACCAAATTTATTTACTTGCCAGTCCAAATAGCTGGTAAGAGCACATTCATTCATTTTTCAGTGAGAAAAAACAAACAAACATATATTTAACAGAAAATTACACAAAACTAAACCTCAACAACTAAATTGTTCTGCATTTATTGTCTTGACTCTGCTACCTTTATTCCAGCTTCCATTCTTTTCAGGAGACTCACTTTCAGTTTCTCAAAGAAATCTGCAGACACACCTCCAAAGTTTAGTCTCAGAAGTTGGTTTAGCATTTCCTACTTCTAACCATCCAAGCAATCCCAAACACAAATGTAGACGGCTGAAGCATAAGTGGAGCTTGATTTTCTCCTCTCTCTCAAAGATGAAAGCTTTAAGTGCTGTTTATCTGATGGGGGCAGTTTTGGTGTCTACCAGGTCTTCCAGGTGATTGTTAGGAGTCCAGTTTTCTCTAATTTTTTTGAACTAGAGTTTTGGAAACGTGTTTTTTCACTTATTTTCTTTTGACTTCTTTTGACTCTACCTTGGACAAGTGGATTATCTTACATCTAACCTCCTCAGAAGTATCTCCTGTGAAATGAACAACTTGTTTTGACTGTAAATGTAACAAAAGAAATGTGGTCTCTGGCACAGTACTGTGTAATATATGTGTAAAGCCAGGGTTGGAGTGAAAATTTGGTCTTAAGTTCTGAATGCCTTGTGTGGTCTATGAAGACTTCTCTTCTACCGCTAAACATATACCTGCATGGGAACATCTGAGAAGACAATTCACCATTAGGTTCTTATGAAACTAACTGGTGCTAGAAGATCTCCAGCGTAGCGTTTTACGGGAGTTGGTTTGCGACGATATGTTCCCTCCTGACCGCCAGACAGCTGGAGCTTTTTAGCGTCCTTCTGTCTTATTTTCATGAGTTGGACTCTCTTCTGCCTTCTGCTGATGATAACTAAAACAAAGAGAATGGCAGACAATTAATAATAGTGGAAAAGTAGAGGTAACAGCAAAATAATGTAAGAAATGAAACGATGGATCAGAAACGGGAACGTTAGGTGATTATAATAATACTCAATGAAATAAGCTCATTATTTGGCCAAAATAAAATTCCTGGTGTGTGTAAAGTTAAAAAATGCTTAGTGCATTGTTTTTATTGTTTATATACCACTACTAAATATTTTTCCAGTCACATTTGTGGATTGAGTTTCTTTTCATTACTGAATGGTAAAAAATGGAATCAAACTGAATTGAATTGTGGTGAAATTTGAGAATTTGAGACCAAATCTTATACTAAAGAATCATAATCGAACCAAATCACAGTCAGAAATTTAAACAGCTGGTAGTAATTAAAACAAAATGGTAATAACAAATATGATATCAATCAAATCAAATAATAAAAAAAAATTACTGGTCTTTTATTAGAATGTATAAAGATTATAAAATGAAGTGAGTTTGTTTCGTTTACCTTCTGTGTGTGAGAATCCTTCAGCCGTGAGCTTCCACTGCACTAGCACACCCATGATGCTGAGCGTAGGGCCAGATGCCCAGGATGACCCAGCTGTACCAGCAGAGGGGTTTGGGGGTGGGAACCAGACGCAGGCATTCATACATGTGACTGACCAGGGCCAGCATCTCCACAAAGTAATCGGCACACACTGTCATGATGGCCGCACCAAACACTGCTGTGGAGAGCACGGTGAAGAGCTTCTGCCACTGAAGGGTTAAGACAGCACAGAGCATGCCTGCGCCAAGAAGAGCACCCAGGGGAACCTGTGGCAGATAACACAGGGTAAACACTTAACACCGATTACTTAATTCAAAATAATTACTCAATATAAAAAAAACAAGAACTTAATTTTACACTATCAGTGTAATGGCTTCATGATTGGTTTACAATTTGAATAATAAACAGGGTCATTATAAGGCCAGGTTTATCAGCACACAAGTTGCTTTATGTGTTCATCACTGAAAGGGAGGAAGGTTTGTAATTCCAAATTTTATGTTTAGGAAGTAAAATTAAAAGGTTTTCTGCTACAAATCGCACATATATGAAGGACAACTTTAAAAAGTAGAAGCTTTTGTTGAACTAGGTCTACGCTAAACAGTCCGGCAGACGGCTATAACATTCAGTTGGGCTTTATAAAAGGATTCATTGTAAGTACAACACACACAAAGTAAAGACTGTATGTTACAAGCTTCAAATATTTCACGTCCATGTTTAAGCAGACCTGACTTGAGTAGTATTAAATCTTGTGTGGAAAGTCAGTATAAACCACAGTTAGCTTAGCAATGACATAGAAATTCACATAGAATGGCACATGAGAATTAGCATTATCATACAGGTGGTACTCCAGGTACTTATACAGTGAAGATTTCTGCAGTAAGTTCATAAAATGACAAGCTTGAAGCAGCATTAAAGTTCACTGTGGCATTTATTTGCACTGAATTGTTTTCAAATGTTATCTATTCAACTTTTTCAGTAAATCTGTATTTCGTTTTTTGAAATATTTATAAAGGCAAAGGCTCTGCACGGTATGATACAGTGAGGTTAGGATCATTTTGAGTGTATGGCCTAAAAAACAGATTTCTTGATTAATTATCAAAATAATCCTTAGATTACAAACAAATTACTAACATAACTGATAGTGAAAGCCCAACATATAACCATTCAAATATCTAATTAAACCACAACGACTCCTTTTAAAGAAGCAAGTATATCTCAGCCCTCTGTGAAAGTCGCTGGCGGTCATAAGTCTAGAAAGCTTTACAAAGTAATTTCTAATCTTATAAAGAATGTCTGTTAGGCCATAATCTCTCCAGGCAGGAAATGGTCTGCTAATGTGATCTGACTATGTAACCTGACAGATCTCCCTGATTGGCAGTGAGGACTGAGCCAATCCTGCCCACCCAATAAGAGCTCTGCCTGCTCTTGTGCTGAAGCAGCACTGCAATTCCAACTTAAGCTCTATCAAAAGAACCTGACAGACAGTCAAGCAGTCAAAAATCACTGGTTTTATTTAAGAACAGGGTGCACAGTGATATTGGAACAATAACGGTATGAGCAGACATTTGTTAAAAAATGATCAGCATCAGTTATTGATCCATAGTTCAAACTGATATCTGATGTATTAACTGTACTGTGGAACTGCAGATTGTTTAAGTGACGCTGAGTTACTAAATCTCTTCATTTTTTTCATTTTCCTGCATTTGTGACCCTCTAAAAAAATCAATGTTATATTTCTCTGTAATACTAGATGCAGATATCTACATAAAAATATCAGTCATGAGCATCGCCCCACTGTTCCCATATCAGTGCATCACTAGTTACAGCTGACAAACATTTTTGGCCAAAAATGGTCAAAAAACACTTTCAGTTTTTTTGCCAGAACAATAAAAATGCACAGAAGTTTCGTTTGAAACTGTTACCAACTTTTGAAAAAAGTAAAAATGTCACTTTATAAATAATTAAAATTAACGGCTAACACTGGACCATTTCGTGTACTCTCCAGCACTGGTCATCACTGATGAGGTAGAAATTCATGTAGGCCTTGGTGTAACATCACGCTGGAACGAGTGACTCACTCTTAGGGTGTTTTCACACTTGGGCCGTTTCAGAGTCTGAAGGGGACTCAGACCGCTGAGTCATGGTTTTCTGGGCATATGTGAACACACCAAACGAACTCAGACCCCTCTAAACACCCCCAAAACGAAGCTCTCAAGGTGGTCTCAGTTCGGTTCGCTTGTAGTTCTTTTTGTGGTTCGATTGATTTGTGCGTTGTGAAAACGGTCCCAGTCCGCTTTTGCTTTGCTTTATGGTGAAGACCTCAAGGTTTACTGTACACACAGCCACAGTCTGCAGCACTTCAGCAGATAAAACAGACCACCAAGGGTCATTTATAAGGTTCTACTCAGGATAAAGCCTGTCGGTGATCTGTGACAAGACAGCAGCCCTGACATATTAAAGCGATAAGATGCATAATTTTACTATGTTAAAGCTCATGCAGGGCACACAACTCTTAGCTTTAAGCTGCTTTCACACTGAACACTGAATGAATGAAAATTCACTGCTGCTCTTTCAAATACACTATTTCATTGCAGTCGTAGATTTTTACCGGGTGGACCTCAGTGAGGAGCACAGCTGAAAACAGAACCTAACGGCAGACCCGCAGGGCCATCCAATTTTGTGTGATGTATTCCGGCCAATTGTTTCAGCGTGGCCAATAGGAGAGCAGCAGGCGTGTCTAGAAGCTCCTCTCACCACTTGGAAGGTGAGATTTATCACATAACGCTGCCCACTTCGCGAGCACTGCGTTCACTGTGAGTGGTGTGAAAGGGGTCCGCGTTCTAATGGTGTAGTGGTCTGAGATCTCAAAGGACCAGAAAGAAAAGTCCTCTTTAATTACATTGTGAACGCAAAAAGAACTGAGGTCATTTGCAGTTGGTTCCTTTTCGGGTTCACTTTAACAGAACTCAGTTCAGTTCATTTAAAAAGAACCATCTATTCTGTGCTTCACTAGTTGAGTCATTTTCTGACCTACCTAAACTAAACTCCTATTTACAAACACACCAGAACAACAATAACTAGTCATATGATACTCAGACTATCTCTATTTTTTACTCTACACAGCATATTAAACTTTGTATTAAAATTCTGTAGCATGCTTCAAAAAGTGTACTGCTTACGTACCCAAACAGTGCCAGGCGTGTAAAATTGGTGAGTGACCAACAAGCCAGCGAGAGCGAGCAGGAGGCCCAGAAGGAGGCCAGTCATAAAGAGACCAACGCTGCGGACCAGCATGGTGACAAGGCCACAGAGCAGCCCGATGCCCAGACCAATCCCTGCACTGGCCTCCACGCTCAGCTGCGTGTCCAACACTCGCTCTTTATGACACAGCAAGAAGATAATGACGGAACCGAACATCAGGCCCGAGAGGAACATGACAGCTTTGAAGCAGCGGTATCCTGGAACAGAGATAAAATAAGACACAAACTACAGCAAACCACCACAATTTCACATTTAAAATATAGTTCATAGTGTTCATTTAAAATTGCTATGAATATGGGGTTTTGTTTTCAAAATGCTAACATTAACTTAGCTGGAATGAATGGGAGCGATTTAGGTCAAAGAGCCTTTCCTAAAATAACCACCACTGAAGTCCTTCAGTGAGGCAGGAGGCCCAAAACACAGTGACCACACAATTAAAACAGAGATCCAAGGATGAAATTTCTATGTTAAATATATAAAAGGTACAACAGCATCAGGACAAAACACTGTTTACAAGTTTGACCACTGATCAATACTGTTTAATTAACCAGTGGTGCTGACGCAGGCCCCCAGCATTTGCCTTCCAAAGCATGCCACCGGAGGCGGCTCTGTCACGAGAAGACCACCTGAGAAAAACCCTCCATTCACTTCCATTCAATTAGGGGAGTCTTTAGTTCATAAGTAAATGCACCTCTGAGACGCTTAAGATTACCATATTTTTCCCATGAGGGAACGAAGCTCGCTTTTCTTTGCATTCACCCTTCGCTGCCATTTTCTTATGCGTTTCACTCTGACGTCATTTGTAAACTAATAAAACCATTTTTTTTTTGCATGAATGTTTCAGATCATTTTCTGCATGGCAAGGGTTTAAATATTCAAGTGAACTGAGTTTGGCGTAAGTTACATTCTCTCTACACACCACGCCCCCCACCACCAACATGAACTCGCCCAATGTCGTCCCAATGTCGCAATGTACTTGCCCTGGACATCCGGGCAATAGTTATTGTTGAACCCTGCTCTGAGATCAGCAAAACAGTGATGTGTGCATTTTTTCTTGAAAACGAAAGTTTTATTGAGTATATAATACGTATATTAAAGAATATATCACTGCCGTCTTAATTTTTTTTTCCATGACTTCACAATGAACACCTCATGATGAATAGACCACCAGAAAGGGACTAAAATTATTTAAAATCTCACAACATTAGTGCACATCCTCCTATAAAGATACCATTTTGCATAATATTCTAAACGTGTGAACAAAAATAATACTTAAGTTCATTAAACTCCACTGCAAAAAAGGAGAGATTTTCAATGAATGTTGCATAAAGTGCTCAGTCAGCAGAGCTAACTAAGCAGTTTACTTTATTATTAGAAAATCTCTCCTGTTAATCTCTACTTACCAAAAAAGCAGTAGATAATTCCAAAGAGGCAGCACATGGAGCAGATGACAGCAGGGATGACCTCATACTTCCTCTCAATCTCCAACTGACAGTCCACCTCCCCCAAGGCCTGTCGCTCCCTCGTCTGAGCCCAGCCCAGCCATCTCCGCCATTCGGACAGGGAAGTGGACGTTCCGTGATGAAGGTGGAGTATTATCCTGACTTCATTGGGGCTGAACAATCACCTAAAGGCAAAGAAGAAACTCAATCAGCTTGTGTCAGACTTTCAGAACACTTGAAAAAGCGCTCCACACACATGGTCCCACTATAACGTGCTGTTTCACAATAAAAGCGCTCTTGGAAGCACGCCACGGCCGGGCTTAATTAAAGCCTATAGGGATAAAACAACTAAAAGCAGTATGTGGCCACACCCAGCCCTCCACTGCCGCCTCCTCACCCCGCAAAATAAGGCTTCAAAGAAGACAAGAAATCTGTCAGCCAACTGTTATTTTTTTTTCCTGGTTCCCAGGTGACTGTGGTACAACCTGTAGTCCTGCGCTCCACACACTGTACGTAAGTGCAGGGATTATGCGCTTAAAGTGATTGGTTTGGTTTAGTAAATATAAAAATTACGCATTTTTCACTGCAGCATTAATGAAGAGAACTACACCGCATGTAATCCATACAGCTAATCTTACAAATATGTGGATTTCTACTACATTCACTACTGTTGCCCTTACAAGGTTTTCTGCTGAGCTTCAGAGTGTGAGGACATTAGCTTAAAGTCCGAGAATTCCCAGCGTTTCTGCCATGTTCAGTGATTCTAAAAACACTTCTCCATAAAAAAATTGTCCTTAAAGGGGCCACATCATGGATAAAACACTAATTTGCCTTATTTTTAAAATAAGGGTTTGTTGTAATATGTAAACACTATTAGATAGATAGATAGATAGATAGATAGATAGATAGATAGACGGAAATCTCAAAACGTTGACTCCTCCCATCCATATTTGGAAACTAAGACGCAAAAACAGCCCATTTTAAATTTATTGTGGTTCTGATGTCACAACCATGAACATATTCACGTACACTATAAGTCAAATGTTTGGACAAACTTTACTGCACTTGTACAGAAAGGAAGAGAGAGACAGAGAGAAGATAGCTAAAACTAAATAAGTAAACTTCACAACCATATGTGTCTTTGCTGATCAGCTATATTTAAACGAATGAATAAATAAACAAACAAACAAATAAATAAATAAATAAGATGAATTTGTCTCACCTTCTTTGTTGTTAAGAAAATGCATGTAATACATATTCTGTTTGTTGGGCTTGTAATAAAATAACTAGAAAATGATCACAGTCAGCGCAAATCATTGTTGTTAGCTTATATAATCACGATCAGGCGGTTATGTAATGATCGAGACAGGTCTTATTGTAGTGGATAAAAGGTTGGAAAATGATCATGTAAAAATGCACGACGACTGTTTTTGGTACATGAAACCAAACAAATGAGGACTTCAGAGGAAAAACAAAACACAAGAAAATGTAGACTACATGCCGTTTAATGGCATAATGTGCTTACTGAACGAAATCGTGCCATCAGATAAGACAGCTCTTCCCAGTGAAACTCCAGCAGATCTTAAACTGGCCAAACAAGATCAAGTTGCAAGTAAACATTGCTAGGCAGTGGATTACAGGAGTGTATGTGTGTGTGTGTGGCGGGGTGTTAAAGAATAGGCCCAGCTTGTCTGTTTGGAAGGGGTGGTGCAGCGTTAGAGACTGGGATGGCCTTTCTCTCTCCATAGAGTCCGATGATCTCACCCCCGTCACGATCCGATTACACTAAACTCACGTTTTCAGCACAGAAGAAAAACAGCCGACGGCTGGCCTTAATCCACCTTTTCTTCTCCTGTTCCCTCTTTCATTGGCTCTTCTTTTCCTTTTGCTCTGTCTCAATTTGTGTTCCGTATAGGTTTGAGGACCAGAGTGGAAAGACAATTATTCTTCTTTTTTCCACAGACGAAGGGAAGTTCTTGCATGCCTGAGTCACTTTCTCTGGGCAATGGTCAAACCTCTTCTGACTCCTTCACTACCAAAGACACGAGCAAGCTCGTAGTGAGTGACCAAGGCCGTCTCAAAGTTCTTGAGGCTCTACACTCTTGAAATAAAGGTGTCAAAAAGGGTTATTTAGCGAAAAGAACCACTTTGAGTTCCATAAATAACCTTTAAATGAATGGATCTTTGAAGAACCAGGTGTGTAAAAGAGATTTTAAGTTTAGAAAGTTTAAAGAACCATATAACATAAAAGGCTCTACATTAATTTAAGTTTTTTTCCCCCTAGAACCGTTTATTCAGTCCTAGAACCCATCCAGGAACTAGTGGAGTAACGGTTCTGAACCAAAACTGAAATCCACGGTTTGACAGCCTGTGGTTCTGCTGAAGCTTTCCCCTACCTCTGACTGCTCTAGCAATAACAAAGAGAATCGGGTGATTCACTGTGTTAAATGTGCACCCATTTCAACCTGCAGAGAATGAGGGATTCCAATTAAATGTGCATGAGCTACAGTTTTAATTTCCAAGCACATCTTCATTTCAGAGCACAAATGGAGCCAAAGTTGCACAAAGAAACAAAGGCAGAATTTGTGAAGAGCTGGACATCTCAAGAGAGCTGATATTTATAAAGGAAAACTTAAAAAACAAGTGGCTGTTACGATTTATTTCACTCGATTTTTACATTTAATTTGCTTGCTGTTCACGTTACACTCACTGACGGATACATTTGCTCTACATTTTAGTGTTTACCTTGTTTATTCCAGTTGTTGTTTTGTTCTTCTTGCTGATGTTTACATTATTTTACTTATTTAGTTTTTACACTTTGTTGTGCAACCACTCTGTGAAAGAACTTTAAAAAGTTACTTATTTATTTTACATTAAACTAAACTTATGTGTAATAAAAAAATGCTGAAAAGTGACACGAACTACCCTTTTCCCAGAAACTGCGGACCGTACCAAACCATGAAGGGTGAATGGGTGCCTCTACCAGAAACTTTTATTTTTAAAGAATGCATGCTGGGCAGGGGCAGATCCAAGGGGTGGCAATTTATAATGTTTGGATCTCCAGATCAAACCACATTAGATGCCCAAGTAAACCTATTCCTGAAAGTTATCAGTGGATTATGCTTCCGGGACGTCCCTTCATTGTTAATTAGGTGATACTTAACACGTAAATCCCACCGCTTAAACTCTCAGTCTTATTACATACTAAGGCTTATTATTGAGTAAGTACAGGATGTTGTTTCATGCGTGCGTCCCGTTCACTCATGCTCACATTTGTGACCGCCAGACTCTGCTGGAGTAAATATGGCATTGTACCCTCTGGGCTATGGCTTGCTACGGGACCAGTCCTCGAGACTGCGGCGTCATTCGATGCAGCTGGCTGAGAGAGGTGGCACTGCAGGCAGTGTGAGAGGAAACAGAGGTGTGGCATGCAGGCTGCTGTCCAAACGCTGCTCTCTAAATATTACTTATAACGCATAAACCAGCATATCGACCACTACTACCATCCAGTGCTAACAGTATGCATCCACCTTTCAACGTCACCTTTCTGCATCTTATTCATTTCAGTGGAGACTGTATTATGATTTGCGATGTGGTGAAATCTGATTTGCCACACGATAAAGGTATGTAGGTTACTTGCTAGTGAGAGCGAGTGAGCCAACTTTCCAACTTGTGTGGATGACTGATGCATTCTGAAAAGTATAAAAGCATAACAAGCATAGGCCTAAATATAGTGCAATGCAATGCACATGCACTCATGTCCAAGTTTGCTCTCTCCCTCTTTCCCTGCCTTTTAAACAGGCTCAGTGTGGCAGGCGAGCGTGTGAGTGTGTGTGAGTGGAGGAGAATGAAGCTATTATGAGCTGATACAAAAGCTTCCATCTCTGGCTGTGACCGTGTCTGCTTGGTAAGCGCGAGGCATACCGAGAGAGTGAGAGAGAGGAGAACGAGTCTGATTGGCTGCATGCGCAGAGCCCGAAAAGCAGTCCCGCCGCCTCACATCTCTCCCATTCCCTGATTCGCTAAAATAAATGACTGACTTGTATTTGAAAGACGTACGTTTCTCCAAACAGGCTGATTCTGCCGCAGTGACAGCAACTCTGCTGTCTGGAAACCGAGGCTTGTTCACTGCAAGAACAGAGAATATTTTCTTAGCTGGATGACACTGGATTTTCTTCTTGCGTGAATTTGTAGCCATAAAATGTACATTACACACTACTATTTAAAAGTTTGTCAATATTAATAATGTTTTTTTTATACATGGTAATAACATATGTATAAAATGTAGTAGTGGATGGCATGGCCAAAAATTAATATCACAGTATAATTAAAATTTTTGACAGTTTCAGATGCTTAAGTAAACCTATTTTTGCAGTTTAACACTGGCTTATTATACTGGAACGTCCCTTAATTTTCTAACGAAAACAATTTTAACGACTGAGTAAACCTGAAATATTTGTATTTTGCAAAACAGTAAAAAACTTAATAGTGTTGCACCGATACTGATACAGTATTGGTGCCGATACTGGCACTTGAACGCAGTATCGGTGATGGGGATACCGATATCTGTGACTGACACCACAAAGCAATTTCTGACGATAGTTTTTGGTGTTAAGAACTAATGGAGCTGCTTACCTGAATGGCTAAACTGCTGAGTGCTCACTTACAAGCCGTGTTCCAGAGCCTAGGCTGCAGTTGAGGTAGGCTGCATTTCTCAGTTTTCTCTTGCAACTGCAAGAGGCGCAACCTTTCTGGTGACATCACCATGTAGCCTCATTAGGACTGTTTTTATTTGTGTGACCAATAGGCTACTAAGGAGTCTTCATAGGACAGTCCTACCGAGGACCCACACTACCTTGACTGCAGCCTAGACTTTGGAACACAGCTACAGCCTGAGTTATGGTTATTGACAGAGTGGAAGGAACCCCCAGACTCTCAGCGTAATGATAGCGTTTTGCCTCGATTCAGCCTTTAGCATAGCAGCCCACTAGCCGCGCCTATGCATCCACTAGCCCCGCCTCTGGTGCGCCTCCATCGGTCAACTGTATCGCTCAGCAGTGGCATCTCGCAGCCTATCACTTGAACCAAGCCAGAAAAAACACTTAGACGCAGAACATACATTTTACCAAAATTAAATATCTTAAAAATGTAATTGTATAAATATCAGGACTTATAGGTGAGTTGG